ACCACGGCAGCAGGAGGTGACTGCCCACAGCCCCCTTGGCAGTGGTCTGTGCCCCAGCCAGCGTGCAGCTGTCCATGGACCCACAGGGACACGCAGGAGTAACAATCAACGGAGGCCCAAGACCACAGCTGGGGTCTCCTGTCCCCACGTAAAGCCTGGGGAAGAGGGGGGTGCCCTGAAAGGTTCCTGAGACTCTTCCACAAATAAGATCCACTGATCCACCCACTGTGTTTCACACTTCCTTTGTCCTCACACAAGCCCTGGAGCTGGGTCCCTGTTTTCTCACCCTAACCCTCTCCCTCCTCTTCCCTCTGTCCTCTCCCCACTTTCATCCTATCTGATCCCTATCACAAGGCAATGACTTAGTGCTCTTCCCATTTCTGGCTACATCTGTGGCCGCACCAGGATGTATTGGGGGGCAGGGACCCCCTTTGCACTTGTCAGTCCCAAGAAAGATGAGCACCTGTGAAAGGGCTGAAGAATCCCTTTCAGCCCTAACTGGAATGGCTCAGTGGATAGAGCAAGTGCCTGCGGACTAAAGGGTCCCTGGTTCGATTCCAGTCAAGGGCATGTACCTGGGTTGTACCTAGGTTGCAGGCACATCTCCAATAGGGTGTGTACAGGAGGCAGCTGATTGATGTTTCTCTCTCATTGATGTTTCTAATTCTCTCTCCCTTTCCCTTACTCTCTGTAAAAAAATCAATGAAAAACATATTTTTTAAAAAAGAATCCCTTTATAACTGAAAACAGGTTTCCCTTTCAGCAAATCAAAGGCAAGACATTAAATGTGCAACTGCAGGGCCCTGGAGCCAGGTGGAGCAGGATGAAGGTGGGATGCAAGGTGCTTCTCCCTCTCCCCCCTCAAACCTCACTCCCCCTCACCCCCCCCCAGGCAGAGAAGGGGTTCCTGCACAGCGAGCTCAGGTTCACCTGTCACAATGTTTCTGATATGTGCTCTAGGCACTGAGTGGCCAGATCATCTCTGAACGCATAATAATCTGGCCACTCAGTGTATTTGTATCTCAAATGGGTACCAAAAGTTCTAGGCTTTTGCTGGAGGTCAACCACCTATTTGCCCAGAGTTTTCTATCAGGCAGTGCAAAGGGGAAAACTGATCAGGTGCACGAGCTATAGTGTCAAATAAATGCGGTACACTGAGTGGCCAGATTATTGTGCCTTCAGAGATCATCATAATCTGGCCACTCAGTGTATATTTCTGTGCTGTTATTACTGACACTTTGAGCGACACCTCTAAACACCCATAATTTTGAAGTCGTGATGTGCATATATTTCAAGATACCAGGACAACTGTAAATAATACAACAAAGCCTCAGGCCCTGTTGATGAGGTGAGGAAGGTCACGTTAATAATGGAAGGAAGCCGGGACCGGTTTAGCTCAATGGATGGAGCGTCGGCTTGGGGACTGAAAGGCCCCGAGTTCGATTCCGGGCAAGGGCATGTACCTTGGTTGCGGGCATATCCCCAGTAGGGGGTGTGCAAGAGGCAGCTGATCGATGACTCTCTCTCATCGATGTTTCTAACTCTCTATCTCTCTCCCTTCCTCTCTGTATAAAATCAATAAAATATATTTAAAAAAAAAAAAATAATGGAAGGAAAAACAAAATTTCCAGTAGAAGGCGATGAAAATAAGGAGACAATTTTTTTCCTGGCCCAAGTTCACGGGCTCTCTGAATTTCCCGCACAGACTCCCAAGTTAAGACCACAAGGGGCTCTCAACCAGAATTTAAAATTGAAGTACAGAAAAATAAATGTGTCTGCTGCACCTTCCACTGAAGGAAGAGGATCGGTAGGAAATCTTTGCCTGGGTGTGTGGTTCTGGCCCAGGCTTTGCAGCCAGACCACCTCTGGTTGAGCCTCCTTTTCTGCCCGGCGCTGCTGTGTGGCTGGGCCCAGGCCCAGTGCTCTCTGTGCCTCGGGGTCCCCTTTTGCAGGAGGTGATGATGGAAGCTGTCCTCCGAGGGCTGCTGTGAGCCGGGAGCTCAGGGGGGGATGGGCACGTGGCGGGACTATTGTTTGGCTGTGGAGGTTTGATAGACGTGTGTGTGTGTGTGTTTGTGTGTGTGTGTGTGTGTGTGTGTGTGTTCTGGGTCACAGCACAGAACATGTTTCTTCCTGGGGGTCATGATTCAAAACATTTGGAGGAAGCCTTGACCCTGGAGGACTCTGGGCCTCCGACCTTGGCAAGAGTCTGGGCTTGTGAAGGGAGACGTGAAGGATGTGCAAGGCCTGGGGTCTGCGTTACCTCTCCGTTGCCCCTGTAACCACTCACCACGCTTCAGGAGCAGGGCCCTCGGCTAGCTCTGGCTCTCGCCTTTGCCCAGGTCGATCCCTCCCCTGGAATGACCTCTTCCCTTGCCACCAACTGGCCCGTTCTCACGCGGCCTCCAGGACAGAGCTCTTCCCGGAAGGCTTCCCTGAAACACATGCCCCCCTCCCCACCTCTGGGAAGGGGCCCAGGTACCATGCCCTGCACAATCCACTTCAACACAGATGCCACAGCCAACCGCCACCATCTGCTCCAGTGACTGCCTCCACCCCCACGAGGTGCCTCTCTCCTGAACAGCTGGTCTCTTCTTCTTTACACCCAGGAGAGCCTGGCATGGGCGAGGGCTTGGCGAATATGTGCCCAGTGAGTGAGTGAGTGAGTGGCTCCCCTGAGGCCAGTACACTCAGAGAAGCCTAGCCCTGACCTGTGCAGAAGCCAATGGCAGGGCTTGGGTTGTCCAGCAGGGCTTGGGGGCATCGCTGGAGCTCAGAATCCTCTAAAATTGTGGAATCAGCCCAGGGTCGGTCCCGCACCCTCAGCAGAATCGCTGGGGCCTGGGGTGTCAGACCCACCTCCTGTGTCATCCTGCAGCTCCGTTCACTGAGCTCTACCCTGGAAACCAGATTCCCCACGAGCTCAGAGGGCTTGGGGGTACACCAGACCCAGGACCGCACCTGGACGCACTGTTCCTGCAGCAGGAGCTTTATTTGGGGGATTCTGATTCAGCATCCGACTTGGCTATCCCAGGGCTGCCACCAGTCCAACAGCCTCAACAGGGTGACCCATGCCCCCATCCCTGGGGACCTGGGATACTCATTTTTTGTGACATTATTTAGTTGTTCTCTTTATTATTTTTTTTATTTAAAAAAAATATATATATATTATTGACTTTTTACAGAGAGGAAGAGAGAGGGATAGAGATTTAGAAATATCGATGTGAGAGAAACAGTGATTAGCTGTCTCCTGCACACCTCCTTCTGGGAATGTGCCAAAACCAAGGCACATGCCCTTGACCAGAATCAAACCCAGGACCCTCAGTCTGCAGGCCGACACTCTATCCACTGAGCCAAACCAGTTTCACGTAGTTGTTCTTTTTAAAATATTTTTTATTAATTTCAGAGAGAGAGAGAGAGAGAGAGAGAGAGATCGATTTGTTGTTCCACTTATTTATGCATGCATTGGCTGATTCTTGTATGTGCTCTGACCTGGGCCAGGCCGAGACCTTGCCGTATCAGCCAGTTTTTCTCTGTTTCTTATTAGGGTTTGGTGGGGGAGGTACAGTTTTAGGATAGTCCCACTTAAAACCAATGCCCCTGATGCCAAGGAGTTGGGTCCAGCCGAAGACTCCTGTGAGTATCTTGCTGCGGTCGCTCGGGGAGGCGGTGAAGCTGTAGCCACTTTCCTTCCCGAATGGGGCCCAGCGCCCCAAGTTGGTATAGACAACCAGGCGGCGGATGTAGATCCCGTGTGAGCCGACAATCCCTACAATGTATTCATCTGGCCCCAGGAGGAATTCCGTGGAACGCCCACCTTGGACGCCATATATTTTGCTCCACTTGGAACCATATCTCAGCTGGACACTGGAAGAAAGGGGAGCTTTGAGCCTCATCGCCTCCAGGTCCTCTATCCCTCACACACCCCTCCCCGCAGCCACCAGCCAGGAGCACAGCCCTGTCCCTGTGACACAAGCCTCTGAGCCCAGGACTTGGGGATCCTGAGGCAGACAAGCCACTCTGCTACTTTTGAGTTCTGTGGTCTTGGGCTTGTTGGCCAGCATTTCGGGCCTCAGCGTTCCCCTTGTCAGCGTGGGGGTGGTTGTTGGGAGTTGGCACTGAGATCACCCATAAGGAGAGCTCTGTTAAATGCCGGGTCACCATGACCCTCTGGCGGCACCAGCTGTCACCCTTGCTCAGAGCAGGGAGCTGTTCCCCAGCCACGCTTGGCTTTTCTGAGTGATTCCAATCAATCCCAATAGGTCAGGTTGCAGGCCTGAGAAGCAAGTGACTTCTCACACCCCCCTGGGGGAATCCTACCAGCTTTGCTCATCTGAGTCTGTCTGTGTCCTTCTGCACACCTTCATGCCTGTCCAAGAGCCTCCTCCTCCACCGCTCCTGGCCCCATACTCTGTCCCTTTTGTTCCTGGCTGCCCTCCCCCATCCTCTCTCCCAGGTCCCCGGGACCCCTTCAGTGGAGAGCAAAGATTTCCCCCAGGCTTCAAGCAAGGACACCACCCTAACATTAGGGGAATGAGCCTGGGCTCTGCCTCAACGGTGTCTGGAGAATTGTGTTCAAGCAGTGGTCCACTCTGACCCTCACTTCCTTCCTCTTTGACTCTAACCTCCCCCCTCATGTTCCCATCCGGCAATCTCTGACTGAAAGGCTGCGTTTGGTTGAGTTGAGTTTGGGTTGAAAGGAGCAAGGAGGGAGAAGCATTATTTATCCCTTTTTTGAGATCAACCCAAGAAGCAGTGTCTGCACTTGCAGGTGGAGACAGAGGGAAGTGGGACGGGTGTGCAGGAGAGGAGGTGGCTGAGGAAAAGGGACAAGACAAAAGGCGATGGCTGGTGGCTGTGTGACTCCAAACTGGCCTCGGGGAGTCCTCAGGAGCCCCACAAAGGTGTTGGAGAAGAGTTGCCAAACCCTCCTCCCCAAGTTCTAAGACCGTGGCACGTGTTGGGACACAGATAGGACCTTGTGCCCTGCCCCGACTCACCTCTTAATTATGCCTATAAAACTTACGGATACCCGGATCCCAGATATGTCATTTTTATTGTCTCGACTGGAGTGGAAGTACGTGCCTGTTGAATGTCCATACATCTCTAGATGGACAAAAAGAGCCAGTTGAGTGAGGGAGAGAAAATGACACGGTAACATATCGGTTATCTTTTTGCAGAACTGATGAAGCCCCTTCAAGCTGAGGGGACGGTCCTAAGACCAGAGTCAGTCCAGGGCTGAGCTCAGGCCCAGGGGGTGGGATGGAGGGAAGCAGACCCAGCCAGACTCACGATCTGCCCAGCAAGCGGTGCTCCACAGGACAGCGAGGGTCAGCCACAGCAGCATGGTTTCTGGCTCCTGAGTCCCAAGGATCCTGGAAAGAAGAGAAGAGGCCACCAGGTGCTCAGAGAGGGGCCCTGCTTGACCCTGTCAGCCCCATCCACGGGAGGGGAGCACCGCCCTACCTGGCCAGGAAAGTCTTGTCAGCTGATTCTGGCACAGGGGAGTCTTGCACCTGGGCACCCTCCACCGGGCCTTTTATACCCCAGGCCGTGTGGGCCCCCATCCAGAAGGGAGGAGGAGTAGGGGACACCTTCAAGACAGATCGGTGGGGGCTCTTCCTGGAGGAGGCTCCCGGACGGACGTATCCTGTTTGTTGTCTTGGCCCCGGAGTCTAGGCAAACAAAGTGGGACCGGGACGTGGATTGTGCTGTCAACTCTGAGCACCTGAACTAGACTTTGACTTCGGAGGTGTGGGGAGCTTGCTGACAGCCCTTTCCACGTTGTCTGGACAGGTTTCAGCCCCACGAGTGGCCACAGGGGGATTGTCTACAGAAGGTTCGTGGTGCTCAGGACTCCTGCCTTGTGCACAGTTGGGTTGAGGGCCTCATTCAGGTCTGGGCAGAGCCTATGGTCTCTATGGCTTTCAGGAGTCCGGGTCAAACTCCCCTGTAGAGAGCCGGACAGGACAATTCTGTACTGTGTGTCTGGTGCAAGGGGTTGGCCTCCCAGAGTCTGTCACTTGGAAGATGTCTGTGATCTTCCCTCGGTGCCATGTCTGATAGTAGCTGGGGATCAATCAGCCTTGACGGGTGTGGGGTGATGAACAGCAAAAGTGACATGACAGGAGGCACATAGGATTGGAAAGAGGTGAACCACCAGGCCAGTTCTCTCGAGACAGCCTGGGGCCGGGCCAAGGGCTCAGACTTCATCTGGAGGTAAGATGGTCCTTCCCAGGGTTCTGGGGACCCTGCTGCTGCAGCATGTCTAGGCTGGGTGTGAGGGCTGGAACAAGGCTGTCTACCCGGACTCCCCAACCTTTGGAAGAGCCAGCGGGTCATAGTCATCAAGATAGGGGCTGAGACCCTGGCCAGGGTGGCTCAGGCGATTGGACATTGCCCTCTTCACCCAAAGGTTTGCCAGTTAGATTCCTCATCAGGGCATAGGCCCAGGTTACGGGCTTAAACCCTGTGGGGGGCATCCAAGAGATAGCGATCGATGTTTCCCTCTCAAATTGATGTTTCTCTCACTCTCTGTCAATAAAAAAAAAAATCTCTAAAAAGATAGGGGCTAATTGTGGGCATGGGTGCTGGAGCCAGATCATGTCCAAATCCCATCTTTTGTGCTGACTAGTCATTGGGGGTGGGGAGTGCACATCTGATATGTGTGGCTGACAGTAGTACTGACTCCCAGGATGCTGTGACAATTCCACAAGATGCTTCTCCAGCTAAGAGCCTGGGCACCGGAGACTTATGCCACCCAGGCAGGAGTACAAGGTTTTGCTTTGCAGCATCCTTTGAAATCACAGATTGGAAACAGCTGACATACTCATCTAGAGGCAAACCCATCAAATAAGTGGTTGTATCCTCTGTGCAGGGAAATGGTACACAACGTGAGGGAGGAATAGAACGCTCCTGCTGCTCCGACACATTGCCCAGTGGCACCGGCCAGTGGAGAATTGAGGGTTTCGAATGTCCCCGTTTAGCTACACAGGAAGAGAGAATGGCCTTGTGTGGGCACGGACAGACCTTCCAGGAACTGAGCTCTCTGGTTCCCTTGGGATGGCAGTGCTGTGAAGACCGAGAGGTGTAGTGGAGGCCCCGTTTAGCTGACAACTAAACATTGGGGGGAGGGGGGGGAAATATCCATGTGAGAGCAAGACATTGATTTGTTGCCTCCTGCAAGAGCCCTGACCAGGACCTGGGTGGGGGAGGAGCCTGCAACTAAGGTACATACCCTTGATCAGAGCCAAACCTGGGACCCTTTGGTTTGCAAGCCGATGCTCTATCCACTGAGCCAAATTGCTAGACTAAATGTTACTAATTTTAAATATATATATTTTTTGTTATCTAGACATAAGAACACTTGTTTTCTCCTTAGAGCAGTGTGGTACGTTACACCTTGGTAAGCAATCCCAAAGCATTTATATTTTTTTCCCTACCTTCTCCCTTTAGAATTTGGAAACTTTTAATGAATATCATTTTATTTTCTTAGAAATATGGTTGTTTGCTTGAATTCAGTGAGAATATGTTCTCTTTATAACAGGACACACAATTGAAAACTAATTTTTATTTTTTTTAAATTTTGAATGGTCATTTATCTTTTTTAAAAATATATATTTTATTGATTTTTTACAGAGAGGAAGGGAGAGGGATAGAGAGCCAGAAATGTCGATGAGAGAGAAACATTGACCATCTGCCTCCTGCATACCTCCCACTGGGGATGTGCCCGCAACCAATGTCCATGCCCTTGACCGGAATCGAACCTGGGACCTCTCAGTCTGTAGACAGACGATCTAGCCAGTGAGCCAAACAGGTTTTGGCTTATTTTTCTTTTCTTTTCTTTTTCTTTTTTTAAAAAATATTTTTATGAAATTATTATCTGTGTACATGCACCACTGCCCTCCCCTTCACTCCAATACATGCCCTCCCTCCCCAGACTTTTATGACGATTTGTTGTACTTATATGGATGTACACAAGTCCTTCGGTTGATCTCTTATCTTCCCCAGATCTCCCTACTTTCCCCGCTGTAATTTGACAGTCTCCTGGTTGCTTTTCTGTCTCTATATCTATCTTTTGGTTCATCAGTTTATAATGATCTTTATTATCCATAAATGAGTGAGGTCATGTGGTGTTTCTCTTTCATTGACTGGCTTATTTCACTCAGCATGATGTTCTGCAATTCCATCCAGGTTGTAGCAAATGATGAGAATTCCTTCTTTTTATGGCAGCATAATATTCCATTGTGTAGATGTACTATGGTTTTTGGATCCAATCATCTACTGACAGGCACGTAGGCTGTTTCCAAATCCTAACTATTGTAAATTGTGCTGCTATGAACATAGGGCTGCATATATCCTTTCTGATTGGTGTTTCTAGTTTCTTGGGATATATTCCTAGGAGTGGGATTACTGGGTCAAATGGGAGTTCCATTTTCAGTTTTTTGAGGAAACTCCATACTGTTCTCCACAGTGGTTGCACCAGTCTGCATTCCCACCAGCAGTGCACGAGGGTTTCTTTTTCTCCACAACCTCGCCAACACCTGTCGTTTGTTGATTTGTTGACGTTTGCCATTCTGACAGGTGTGAGATGGTACCGCACTGTTGTTTTGATTTGCATCTCTCGGATAATTAGTGACTTTGAGCATGTTTTTGTGTGCCTCTTGGCCTTCCTTCTTTCTTCTTTTGAGAAGATTCTATTTAGATCCATTGCCCATTTTTTAATTGGCTCAATTGCCTTCCTTTTATTAAGTTGTATAAGCTGTCTGTAGATGTTGGAGATTAAATCTTTATCAGTGATAACATTTGCAAATATGTTCTCCCATACACTGGGCTTTCTTGTTGTTTTGTTGATGGATTTTTTTTGCTGTAAAAAAGCTATTTATTTTGATGTAGTCCCATTTGTTTATTTTCTCTTTAGCTTCCATTGCCCTAGGGGCAGTATCAGTGAAGAAGTTCTTTTGGCATATGTTTGAGATTTTGCTGCCTGTGGATGCCTCTAGTATTTTTATGGTTTCCCATCTTAAGTTTAAGTCCTGTATCCATTTTGAGTTTATTTATGAATATAATTTAAGTTGGTGATCCAGTTTCATTCTTTTACATGTATCTGTTCAATTTTCCCAACAGAGACTGTCTTGACTCCACTGTATGTTCATGCCTCCTTTGTCAAATATTAATTGAAGAGACTGCCTTGACTCCATTGTATGTTCCTGCCTCCTTTGTCAAATATTAATTGAGCATAGTGATTTGGGTTGATATCTGGATTCTCTATTCTATTCCATTGATCTATATGTCTGTACTTGTGCCAGTACCAGGTTGTTTTGAGAGCAGTGGCTTTGAAATACAGCTTGAAATCTGGTATTGAGATCCCTCCTGCTTTACTGTTCTTTCTCAGGATTGTTGTCGCTATTTGGGGGCTTTTATTGTTCCAAGTGAATTTTTGGAGAGTTCTTTCTAGGTCAGTGAAATAGCCCCTTGAGTTTTTAGCAAAGACCAGCTAAGGAGTACCCAAATTAAGATAATAACAATGTACCTACCTATATAGGTTAAGTTTAAAAAATTTGGCTCTCAAAAGAAATTTTGATCATTGTGTTGTTGATATTTGGCTCTGTTGACTAATGAGTTTGCGGATCACTGGGTTAGGAGATTCATTTGCAGACTAAAGGGTTTCGGGTTCAATTCCTGGTCAAGGGCATATACCTTGGTTGCAGGTTTCCCCAGTCCCAATAGGTGTGCATGCAGGAGGCAACCAATTGATGTGTCTCTCTATCTCCCTCTCCCCTTCTTCTCCCTCTCTCTTGAAATCAATGTTGAAAATACCTTTGGGTGAGGATGAAAAAAAAAAAAAAAGGCACACACTACTGAAATACAGATAACATAGGTGAATCTCAAAATGATAATGTTGAATAAAAAAAAATTCAGACACAAAAGAGGATATATCATATATAACTTCCTTTATATGAAATTTTCAAAAAGGAAGAGAGAGAGCAAGATACTAAAAACATACTGAAAGAAATAATGACAGAAAACTTCCCCCACCTGGTGAAAGAATTAGACCTACAAGTCCAGGAAGCACACAGACCCCACACAAAAAAATTCAAAGAGGACCACACCAAGACACATCATAATTAAAATTCCAAGAGCAAAAGACAAAGAGAGAAT